GTTCTTCCTAATGTCCAGTCTAAATCTGCTCTCTGCTAGCTTGTGGCCATTATTTCTTGTAACCCCCGGGGGCGCCTTGGTGAATAAATACTCACCAATTCCCTTCTGTGCCCCCGTGATGAACTTAGCCTTGATAATTTTTTCAAAGAAAAAATTCATACCCTGCCCCCACCCCGGGGCATTTAAGGGGACTATTTAAGGGGCGAGAGGGGCAGGTACTCACAGGTCAAACACGAGGAACACGAAGGTGGCCGACTCGTAGGAATCGATGAGGGTGACTGCAGGGAGAGGGTGCCGTGAGGTGGGGCCCCAGTTCCCCCACCATACTGGTCCCAGTTTCCCCCCACCTAGGGAGTCTGGCCATACTGGGCCCAGTTCCGTGCTATGGGGGGGGCCAGATGAGGTACCTGGCGGTCACTCACTGATGCCCAGAGAGGCCAAAGGTCACACACTGATATACAGGTGCTGAGGGGGGTCAGAGGTCACTGATGCAGGTCAGGGGGTCACTCACTGATGCCCAGAGAGGGCAAGTGTTGGGGTCAAAGGTCAGTCACTGATGCAGGGGGTTGGAGGGGATCACACACTGATGCCCAGAGAGGTCAGGGGTCACTCACTGACACAGAGGTGCCTAAGGGCCCGGGGGTCAGAGATCAGGCATCACTTAGGGATGAAGGGGTGCCCAGGAGGTCACAGGTCAGGGATCACCCACTGAAATGGGGGGGTCCCAGGTGGTCAGGGGTCGCTCACGGGGGTGGGGTACCTATGAGGTCAGAGGTCACACACTGCCATGGGGATGCCCAGGAACAGCCCCGAGGGTCACATGGCGATGTTCAGAAAGGTCGGGGTGGATGTCGGGACGGTCACTGGCAGGGGTGCCTGGGGTTGGAGGTGATGGGTCAACTCACTGATGTGGGGGTGCCCGGCGAGCTGGCGCAAGATGGCGACCTCCTTGGCGGTGGCGGCACGGACCTCCTCCAGCTGCTGCGGCGAGGAGTGCTCGGGCGCCAGCTC